TTAAAAAAAAAAAAAAGGTCTTGAGAAAGGAAGTCTGCTGAGTTTTGAGGAACCAGGTCTCTCTCATGTCTCTAATCACAGAGGGAAGATGACTAGCCCTTTCCCACATGCTGACAGGACATCCTAGTGGGCCAAGAAATGAGACAGGCTACCAATGCCAGGCAGACCAGGAAAATGGAGCAGTCAGTGTGAAGTCAGTTCTAGTTAAGAAACTAGACGGTGCTGGGAACTGGACAGAAAAGATTGGCAGAACTACAAAGAGGTGAGTGACCTGGAGCTGCCCACTTGTGGCCAGGAGGTGGGCCAGGAACAGGTGGCCAAAGAGAAGATGCCCTTCTGGGAGTGGAAGAAGAGTGTGTCTGCAGGAAAGCACGCGTCAGAGTGCTACAAAGGAAGCAGCACAACCACCACCCGTGAGGCAAGAGCAGCCTGGGCAGTAACGCAGAACTTTTGTTCTATGAAGACTGGCAGATCCTCATGCCACAATAATGGATCCCAAGACAATGCAGGGAGCCCCCGCACTGAGACATTGAGGAGCAGCCTGACACACAAGTGGGTGGTGCCAGCCTGGGATGTGGATGAAGAAGACTGAGGAGGCAGGCTTTGCCTCTGCACCTGGTGGTGAGATAAACTGAATAAAGTTGTGCAGAGCTGGAAGGGAGGGGAATTGTATTCACCTAAATTCCCTTAGAAAGGGGAAGCTGTCTTTCCTGAGAACAATATTTTGATAAGTACTTAAGCCTGAAGCTGAGATCCCAGTGGAGGCCTGGGTGTGGGAGGAATAGCTCTGTGTAAGACATGAAGGAAATTTAGAATTTTGCATGTTATACCAAAGAGAGAGGAGACAATGAAGGGAAGAAAGGAGGCTTTGATGCTGTTCCGTGTGAATCCTTTTCCCTATTATCATCTTAATTTTCAAAAACTAATGTTATGAAATTGTCGGGGTCAAGTGGAGTGTCTATCTGTGGTATTTATGTGCACATTATCTATGTGGAGGCGTGCAAAGGTGCTGGCCTCAGATTCAAACAGATGCTGGGGAGAGCCTGGGCGCAGAGCAGAGGTGCAGAAGGAGCTCAGAAGAGACCCCACTCAGGGAGTATCCTGTGCAAGTTCAACCGGATCTCAGTGGGTGAGGCCCCAGCTGACTTCTGGGTTACTAATTTCTCCCACAGTGTTACTTTGGTCATCTTTAATTCTGTTTGCTATATCCAAATCAACTAGCAATGAAAACCACACACATGCACTTGTGCGTGTGCGCACACCTTAGAAACCCTCCAGGAACTGAACCCCAGGTTTCTATCCTAGGTAGGCTAGAATGCTGATGTCCAGTTGGGACTCTCAGGCCTACTTCAGAATGGAGGCAGCCAGCGGCTGGGCTACTTTGATGCTGCTATGCCACACTGTCTCCTGAGTCCCCATGTGGAGGACAGGGCTTCTTACAGCTCTTGGCCCTGGTTAGGTCTAGGCTGGCAGGCATATCAGTGTCCCCTCCATGTTGGAGATCTTTTATTGGACCAGGGCCACAAGAGGCAGATGGGATTGGTAATATAGAGAAGTTCCTTCAGAGAGGCTTGAGACTTCAAAAGTGACATCTTTAAGATAAGAGACCCAAAGGAGAGCTAACACTTTTCTCACCAGAAAAGCCTTTTGCTGGCCTACTGAGTCCTGCCCTCTCCCCTCAGCTGTTCTTTCTAGGGACAGTTTTTTTTTTTTTTTTTGAGACAGAGCCTCAAGCTGTCCCCCTGGGTAGAGTGCCGTGGCATCACAACACACAGCAACCCCCAACACCAGGGCTCAAGCGAGTCTTCTGCCTCTGCGCCCCAAGTAGCTGGGACCACAGGCACCCGCCACAACGCCCGGCTATTTTTGGTTGCAGCCGTCATTGTTGTTTGGCGGGTCGGGGCTTCGAACCCACCACCTTAGGTGTACGTGGCTGGCGCCTTAGCCGGTTGAGCTATAGGCGCCGAGCCTCGAGGGACAGTTCTTAAAGGTGGTAAGGAAAGGAAAAAATTGACAAAGCCCTTGTCTTGGGTTTATCATTCAATTCATGATCACCCTCATCTCCCCATTCCTACACCTGGCTCTCCTGAGAGTCACCCCCCAGGCCTAGGATGAGATGTGGTTCTTGAGCAATTCATATACAGCCTAGGAAACAAGTGTAAAGGAAAAACTCTGGTAGCAGCTTGACACCTGTAGCTCAGTGGCTAAGGCATGGGCCACATACCCCAGAGCTGGTGGGTTCAAACCCGACTTGGGCCTGCCAAACAACAGTGACAACTACAACAACAAAAACAAAAATAGCTGGGTGTTGTGGTGGCACCTTTAGTCCCAGCTACTTGGGAGGCTGAGGCAAGGGAATCGCTTAAGCCCAAGAGTTAGAGGTTGCTGTGAGCTGTGACACCACGACACTCTACCAAGGGCAACAGCTTGAAACTCTGTCTCCAAAAAAAAAAAGAAAGAAAGAAAAGAAAAACTCCTATAGTGATTTTCTGAGAAACTCTGTAAAGTCCTTTGAGAGAATTAACATGGTGTTGGGGGCCCAGGCTGTGGCTCATGCCTATAATGCAAGCACTTTGGGAGGCTGAGGTGGGAGGATCACTTGAGACTAGTCTGGGCAGCATAGAGACACCCCATCCCCTACAAAAAAATAAAATTAGCTGAGCATAGTGGCATGTGCCTGTAGTCCCAGCTACTTGGGAGGCTGAGGCAGGAGGATCACTTGAGCCCAGGAGTTCAAGGTTGTAGTGAGCTGTGATCATGTCCCTATCTTCCAGCCAGGACAAAGTGAGACCTTGTGTCTAAAAAAAAAATAAAAAAATTAAAAGATAAAGTGACATTAGCATGGGGACTCAAACTCACAACTGAAAGTAGATGAATCAGGTTAGCATCTCTCTCTCTTGTGTGGTACGATAAATGAGATCATTATTAATGTTTAGAAAGAGATTTCCTGGGTTGTTGGACAGGGACAGTGTGTATTCTGGCCCCTGCCCTTGGTGGGCAGGTCTTCCTGAATTCAGATTAACTATCCAGCCTTGCACCTTACCAGGCATTGAGGTACATCACATTTTTGTGGTAGAGGAATGCGTATCCAGTGCCAATAGCTGAGGAACATTTGGGTGTCCCCCTAGCTGGTCCCAGGGTATGTTGGCAGGGGTCTTTTTTTCTATTGGGTGACTGGAGGAGACCACATCCATCTTCCAGATGGCCTCCATCTGTTTCTGCTGTTGGCTGGGAGTGGGAGTAAAGAATGCAAAAAGAGAGAGGGGGAGAGAGAGATTAAGAAGTAACAAGCTCTCCAAAGTCACAAAGCCTGACTCTGGACCTTGCTTTCTTCCCTTCTCAAATGGTGTTTGTCACTGCCCTACTTGTTACCCCCCGCCCCTCAGTCTTGACTCTAAATCTCACTTCCCTGAGGCTTTTCTGTTTGAGGAGTTGCTGGAAGAGGCACCCAGAATAGCCCCTATAATTCCAGACACATACCTTAGGCCTAAAGCCCTGATCCAGCAGCACTGGGGTGGCTGTGTGTCTTGGCTGCCCAGAGGTTTGCAGTGTCTCTTTTTGAGCCTGGGGGTCACATAGTGGGAAGGATCAGGCTTGTTTATGTGGACAGACCAATGGCAGATGGGGATCAATGTTCAGGGTAGAAGCGGTTATGAATGTTCACTGTGGGTCCTCAAGAGTTTTTCAGTTGCATAGTTTGGAACACAGTTGGTCAGACTAGCCCATGTATCGCCACCACACATGCACCCCACTCTGGGTCAATGAGCCAGAGTTGGGTAGTGCAGCTGAGTAGACAGACTTGTAGGTTAATCTTGCAACTTGTAGGTTAATCTTTGCCTGTCTGTGCCCTGCCCTTGCTGCCTGCCTTCCCAGGCTGGCCACTCCTGCTCCCTGCCTCCCCACCCATTTAGCTGGCTCAGCTTCCCCGCACCTACCAACCCATCTGCTGGGGCACACATTCCTGGTGCTTGGATGGAAAGGGCTGCTTGATGGTGGCGCCACTGTGGGGAATGTGCTGGAGTAAAGCTGGGGGCAACTTGCACTTCCTTGGCTTTGGAGAGGTGACCACAGGGATGTTCAGGGGAATATTCTCCTCCAGCTGGAGCTAGAGGAACCAGCAGAAAGGTATCAGGCAGAAAGAAGTTATCCTCTCTCTGGGATGGGAGGAGGCACTGCCTGCTGGCTCAAAGCTGAGCAGAGAGGGTAAGCCCCAGGGAATCCCCCCATTTGCTCCATTTAGAAACCTTTGGGACCCCAGAGTATCAGATCTTTCCTAGAGACTCCTTGAATTTATAGTTTCTGGGTTAGTTCCTGTTTTCTCCTTTGTTGTGAAGAGTCTGGACAATGGACAAAATAGCAAGGAAGAAAACTAAAAGAAGCCAGAGCATCTAGAATTCATGAAAGCACTTGCAAGATTCCAGGCCCAGGGTCAGGTTGTGCCTGGACTGTTCTGGGTATCTTTGCACGCAGCCCCAGCCCCAGCCCTATGGGCAAGGAGCTGAGGGAACCCAAACAACTATTCGAAGATTTGTCATATAGTCCCCTTCCTTCTGAACCCCAAAACAAACTTAGTAAGTCAAGATACCTACAGGAGATTATTGGGACTGGTACTACATATAAGGTAATATGAAACTGAATTGAATAAACCTCCATAGCCAAGGCCAACTCCCTGATGCCCGCACCTGCACTAAATGCCTCATCACACTGGCTCCCCAGAATCAGGCTACTGCTGCTCAGGACTCAGGGGGGATAGCTCCTGACCCAGCCCTTGAGCACATCCCAGCAGGTTCTGACCCACTGCTGTGGGACTGTTCAGTCCCTAGGGATCACGTCAGCACTTGCTGCTTCTGTGCTTCTAATAGCTAGGAAAAGGTGGAGGAAACTAAAACCAGCCTTCTTTCACCTAGCCTGCCTGAGCCTCAGATCCAGAACTGAGGGCTGCTCATGCCAAAGCAATGAAAGGGTCTAGCAAGGAAAGGTCTGATCCTCATAGTGCAGAGAGCTATTCCCAACATATGAAAGACTAATATAAATGTAAGCCCAATACTTTGGGTTTACAAAATGATTAATATTCCCAAAGGATATGAATTCTTTTTTTTTCTTTTCTTTGAGACAGAATTTCACTATGTTGCCCTCGGTAGAGTGCCATGTAGTCATAGCTCACAACAACCTCAAACTCTTGGGCTCAAGAAGTTCTCTTGCCTCAACCTCCCAAGTAGCTGGGAGGCTACAGACACCTGCCACAATGCCCAGCTATTTTTTTGTTATTGTGGTCATTGTTTTAGCAGGCCCTGGCCAGGTTCAAACCCACCAGCCCTGTTGCATGTGGCTGGTGTCCTAACCATTGAGCTAAGGTGTTGAGCCTGGATATGAATTCCTTTTTTAAAAATTAATTAATTAATATTTTCAGACAGAAATAATGGTCAGGAAAAAAATGAATTCTTTTTTTAATATTAATTAATTAATATTTTCAGACAGAATCTCACTTTCTCACCCTCAGTAGAGTGCTGTGGCATCA